GGGCCTGCCGGATAGTAATGCAGTTTGAAAATACGTCGGTCTTCCCAGTGTTTGTAGCTAAAAAATCGACTGATTTCACGACCTCGACATAATATTTTGCAGGTTATCATAGCCTAACGCTAGAACATCGGTGTCGTCACCATCGTCAAAGTCGCGTATGATTTTTTCGGCAATCCAGCTATTTGAACAGGATGGCGATAGGCTGTCAGACGAATATCGAATGACTAGGAGATGACTGTTGAACAGGACTCGCACAGTAGAGGAGCGAGAGCAGGCCGTGGTTGTAGTAATGACATCAGCCGGCATACTGCCTAGTTCCATTATCCGCCACAGGGAGTCACGACGAACAGGATTGAACGCTCTGACGAGGTCAACAAAGCAGACGACCGTTGATTGCTGGTATGCAAGGAGAACTTCGAGAATGCGCCGTTATATAAATATCTAGTCGGTGTAGCCACCTGCAGCTCGGAACCTGGCTTTGTTAGGTCTTCTAGCGTCGTGTGCACTAAAATCTGCGAATGGCAATGAAGACGGCCTTCGCACCCAATTCAATAGGACTTGGACCAGTAGTTCTCGCACTTTGTATTACTTATCTTCTTAAATATAAACACATCAATAATCGTGGGTTGCTCGTAACCATGATGGAATTCGGCGATGCACGGCGGTGTGAGTCTTTGTGTACCACAGCTACCTACAGCGTGGAGCCCTGCATGTTTTTTCCTGCTTTTGAATCTGCCGTGCAAAGTTCTTTTTAACAACTCCAATGGGACGTACCGTCACAATCCTCGCACTTCGTATTTTCTCCTAGCCTGTCGACGGAAATGAGGATGGTGGTGACGCAGTTATCAGTCTGTTTGTGTTTATTAATCAACCTTATGGATCTAGGACGCCATGATCGATGCAAGATCTGCGTAGGCGCTGTCTTCTGCAGTCGCCTTTTTAATGCACATCTAAAGTACTGCATCGTCGACCTCTTCATATGAAAGGCCAAACGGGACCGTGTGGGGTGGAGGGAGACGGAACTCTGCCTCTGACGAGAAAGATAATTGACTGCTAATCGAGGTTTTAAAGGCCCTCGATTCTTGGCCGCATTGCCAGCAACAAAGTCACCATTTCAATCACGGCCAGAGCCATTGAGTATAGAAAACCGAGCACAAACCTGAGGAATTAGTTGTTAGAGATTTCTATTGTCTTCGACGTTTGACATCCCCTCCCTGGGGGAGGCGTTTCAGCTGCATATATCATGACTTCTTCGGGACTACCTGTTTTTCATTGTAAGGAGTTGGCAGAATGGATCTAGTTCGAGTTATGCGTGTAGAAAACCTTATGATTCCTGCACTAACAATCATTGCGACATTACTAAATGAATCTGAGAATTCTCCCAACAACTCTGCAGGCTGTTGACAATTTGTCATTACCTCGTTTGATTGGGCTTGAAAAGCGAGACCAGGTGTCAGTTTTCGGAGCATCAACTACGTTTGGCTGTTGTGTGTTTAGGCACACCTTCCACGAGGTATTCTTGACACAAGGAGGGGTGAATCCTCAGGCGTATACAGACGAGTTCATAATCTGACTGCACCAGTTTCCGACCCGGTTTTATGCATCCCAGCCACGTAACCATGAGCCAACTAAACTCTACTTTGTCTCACTGATCACAATACCATCGCTGGAATACCAGGTTAGTACATGTTTGCGTCAACTTAAAAGGAGTGTTGCGGTGACAAGCTGTCGGCTCTGGTCGAGGTAACCCGGCAATCCGTCCCTTCTATGGCGTCAGGAACCAAGTTTATACCGACAAACTACGTAAATGTTGAGGCATTTATTGGACCCAATTCAATCATTTCAGTCACCGGTAATGAGTAGCAGATCTTGGTGGGTGGAAATTTTAACCTCTTTTCGCAGCTGCAAGAGAGACATCTCTTTATAGTACTCGTCGACAACCAGTGTTGCGCGTAGACATGAACGATGCAAACGTTAGTACGTCATCCCATTCGTATGGACATCCGCCTGTTATTGACCTGTTGCCATCCAAGCTGTCTGATTTGACCGTTCCATTCCCCACCTACCAGAAGGGTTCGGAAATTTCTGCATTTCATGCTTATGTTCAGTCTCGTTTGACCAGTCCGCTTCGCATTTCCTAAAAGTGGCTTCCATATCTTTTATGAGCTTTTTGGGCGTAAACTAAGTACATCCTTCCGTCTGAATGAGAATTCTTTCAGGTCCTCTGTTGAGCTCAGCAAGTCTGATGCCATCCGAGACGGCGTATCCGTTCCAACCACACTGGAGGACTATTGTATGGCATCACGCATTATGATGGAGCGTGCCCTGAGCGAAAACAAAGCACTTCTGGAATGTGATGAAGGCGATGACGACTACTGCTTTGGTTCGGACGATGGCTATGATGACGAGGAAGATGACGAAGGAGAGAGTGTTGTCGGTGACAATGAGCGTGATGGTCCCAAAAATCCACCAGAGCTCTCCTCATCCTCCGCCGCTGACACGGATCTGCCGCGGTCAACCTCAGGAAAAGCGATACAGTACTCCGATTCTGCGGCATCTCCGCGGAAATCTCTACTCGAGGAGGAACTTCCAGCGCCAGCTGCTGCTGGTGAAACTGCATCCCACCGTCCTCCTCCTCCCTCGCCCTACCTGTCGAGTCAATGACTGTGTTACTCTGCTCCCATCAGGTTGTAGACTCTGCAGTTGGCGGGCTGCATCTTTCAGACTACTCCCCTCTGCTCAACCCCGAATCTTTCGCCGCCACGGTCGGTGTCGGCTGTCGCCTCCAGCGATCTTCCTTTAACGGGCTCTTGGCACATTTTCCATTATTACAGTTCTTTCATTTATATTATCCTCGTGTATATAAGTATACAAACACATCATTTGTATCCTGCTTTAAATCTGGATAAACAGGAAACTTGTGAATATAGTGGGTCGATAAAATAGGAAATTGGGCAAGCAGTTTGCGTCCTGTTGATTTCAGACTAGTTTGCTTGGTAGATGCAATTCTAATTCCTTCCCTAGTATTTAGATATGTGGACTAATTTTGTTTTACGCGGCATATTTATTAATAAATAGTTCCTTCCTGTCGCTCCGGTGCGGACAGGCGCATGAGCATTCCCGACGCAATATTGCTGCTCTTAGGACGCGAGTTGTTTGAACTTATCCGAGTTTCATATAAGCTCCCTGTGGGTTTCTTTGCGGCAGAGTTAGACTGCCTAGGGCATCTTAATAGTGGTCTTTGTAGTGCCCATCTTTGTCGCCACAGATGCGAAAAGCTGAAAGTAACAAGTGAGTCTGTTGAAGCCGCATATAGCTGGTTCTGACTATCTCACGAATCTCGATTTTTTTTGTTTTTCCGAGTCCTCATGAATCTATCTGTCGATAGTGAATGATTACGGTGTCTCCTCTCAATCTATTCAGCCAGTTTTAAGTCTTTCTACACACTTGCACATGAATCGTTTTTGACTGCTACGTGGTAATCATGCGCGGCAAAAGTATGTGCAGGATAGGTTGAGATTGCTGGGTTGGTTGCAGGGGTGGTGCCGGCGTTGATGGATGGGTAGCTGGCAGCACTAGAGGTGGGAGAGTCGTCGGATGTGCAAGCTGGGATTTGAATGTCGTTGTTACTTTGGCTGTCGTAGATAGACGTGACTGAATAGGCCCGCGTGGTAAGTGGATATGCGTAGGCGGCGCGGGCAGTGGAGGCGTGTATGTTGGGACCCCTGCAACTGATATGCCAGTCTCCACGGTTGGCTCGCACTTGACCGACCGGGCCAATGTGTGAGTTGAGGGTGCGATTGCACTGAGGACAGACCGAGATTTAGCCCACACTGTTGGTGGTTTGGTGCTAGTGATGCGGATGGTGGCTGACGGCGTCCGGAGTGTCCTCGCCGTTATTAGTGATGGGAGAAATGGCGGTCATAATCGCGGTGGTTGCGGCAGGGTTGACAGAGGTGGTGGGGGTGGACGATGTCGGCTCAGGCGTCGAAGCATCAGGAGTGTGATCACTGGTGGCGGTCGGGGTGGTTGTCGTTGACGCTGGAGAATTTGGTACAGGGATGACAGTAGGGAGCGCTTCAGGAGACAGCCGGTGGATTTGTGCTGTCGTTACTGACCTAGTCCGTGGATGTCCGACGAGGTCCAGGCGTCCTGCATCTCTCGTAGCCGTTACTGAACAAGGCGGCGACATCTGAAGAAGATTGCCTTGTTTGCGTCAATTTATTGGTTGATGTGGACTTTGTGTGGTCTGTTCTTTTCGCCAGGTATGTTGCTAATATATGCCTCGTCGTCAACCCAGTCATAGTGTTCGGGACTTGCTCGACGAAGGACGTCCGGGCCGGTAAAATGGATGACCCGCAGTTGACACCGCCGTGTCTCCACGGTGGCCTAATCGTGCGGGGCCAGCAGCTCTTCCAGTTGCTTCGTCAACCGATTGCTGCAATCAAAGCCACGGAGAGGTGAATTCATTAGAACAGTGTTTGTCGCTTTTTTATTTCCTCAGAAATTAACTGCAAGCTTGGCGTAGATCAGTCTATAGTAAGGTCTATAGGCGCAAACCAAAATTTGGTGTATGCATATTTCGGCCGATGTCCCTCTGCCATAGCGGGATAACCGCGTAATATTTATTAACTGCTTATAGGCCGTCAACAGTACGTTTTAGTTGATCAGAAGAAGAAGCGATCGCTGCAACAATGGCTTTATTCGCCTGACGTTTCGGATTCTCTCTTGAATCCATCATCAAAGACAGTTGCAGAAAAGGGTGGCTAGTGTACAGGAAGTCGCAGTATTTATAGGATGCGGTCGCCATGCTACCGCATACCTACAGCAATTAACCGTGCTCACTTCATCAAGGATTGTTGCCCGCTGGTGCGCTAATTGCTTGATGGCCGGCATGCAAGTTGTTAATTGCTGACATCTCATCACCCGTGTTGGATGCTGGCGTGATGATTGCTCGGCCATCTGGCTCACGTGCTTGCGCGCTCCTCGAGTGGTCAATTGCTTTGGCCAGTCTATGCCTCAGGACAGAATATGGAGTGGGGATGTCGTTGCACAGTCATGGTTCACGGGACCTCAGTCTATCAACAAGTGCAACGACATCCCCACTCCATATTCTGTCCTGAGGCATAGACTGGCCAAAGCAATTGACCACTCGAGGAGCGCACAAGCACGTGAGCCAGATGGCCGAGCAATCATCACGCCAGCATCCAACACGGGTGATGAGATGTCCGCAATTAACAGCTTGCATGCCGGCCATCAAGCATTAGCGCACCAGCGGGTAACAATCCTTGATGAAG